GCTTACTCTCCCTAGGGTGCTAGTCATCATTGGTAGATTCCACTACTTACCAGAGAAGGGGTCTCTGGCTAGTTCCAACCATTGGCAGTCTTAGCCAACGTTTACACATTGGAAATTGTTTCGTTAAAAGAAAATCTAAAGAAAGATGGACTTGGTGCTCACCAAAAGGATACAAGTTGGACTATTTTCTGACTAATCAAATTAATTTTGTTGAAAATGTGGAGGTCATAGAAATGCTAAATTTCAACTCAGATCACAGTATGTTAAGAATAAAGTTACATATCGGAAAGTATAAAAGAAAAAGACCATTTAGGGCAAAGAAGAAGCATTTACCTCTTCACGACCCAACCCAAATAGTTCGAGCTAAACTCACAAGAAATCTGCAGCATAGTTATGAAAGTAGAGAAGGAAAAGTACTTAGTTCAGTTCAGGAAAAGTATAGTATTATTGCCAAAGCCATTGAAGAGAAAAGGGCACAGAGCCCTGGGTTCAGTATGAGTACACCAAGTAAACTATCAGAAAGTACAAAAGAACTTTTAAGTGTTCGTAAAAAGATAAAAGATAGAGAAGACATTACTTAAAATAAAATATCTCACTGTTCTGAGCAATGAAATCAGGAAAAGAATAAAAATAGATCTGGAAAATTATAAAAATTATATGGTCACAAAAATTCTTCTAAACAATAACTCCACAAGAAAAATTCAAAAAGAATTGTCCAAAGGTACTCAATGGATAGTTGCTTTTGAAAACAGGAAGAAAGAAGTTATAACTGATAGGAACAATGTAATAAGGGTAGCAATGGAATACTACAGAGAACTTTATAAATGTAATCAGAAAAGAGTGGATACATTAACAGTTAGATGAAGTTTAAGAAGAAATCCCACCAATAATGGAACCGGAAGTGGCTTTTATTGCAAAAAACTTGAAACATGAAAAAAATTCTGGGCCGGATGATATTACGAACGAAATTTTAAAAACAGGAGAAGTTCTCATTAGGGAAGTTACAGAACTATTTAACTTAATTGTTGAAAAGGAACACTGGAAAACAGCAATAATAATTCTATTACGCAAAAGAGGCAATAAACAGGATATGGAAAACTATCGACCGATTTCCCTTTGTTTTAGCATGGCAAAGCTTTTCATCAGTGTCATTAAACAACGGCTCACCAAAAGAATCATGGAATGCATAGAGGAAGAACAAGCAGGTTTCAGAAAAGGTTTTTCAACTGTGGAGCACATTCATACAGTAAACCAGATGATAGAGAAAGCTAAAGAATATAAATTCTCTCTGTATTTCTGTTTTCTAGATTTTTAAAAAGCCATACGGCTTAATTATTATTTATTTTTAAAGTGTCCTACTTACAGGCGTTCTTAAAGCCTTAAGATTAATAGGAATCGAAGAGAGAAATGTGAGCATTATCGCAGAGCTATACAAAGATATGTCAGCATATATAATGACAGAAAAGAGGGGTCAAATATTTCGTGTCGAAAAGGGTGTTAGGCAGGAGGATCCGTTATCTCCCTTGTTGTTTATTCTGGTGTTGGAGATGAGGTTTTTGTCTCTTGGATGGGAAAATGTACGCATAAAGATGAATGGTCGATTTTTAAGCAACTTACGTTTTGCAGATGAGATTATACTTTTTGCAAACAATTCCCGACAATTACGAGATACGCTAAAGCACCTTCTAGGGGCCTGTGAAGAAATTGGTCTATACCGACACCACAATAAGACGAAACTAATGACCAATAGTTCAAAGGAAGAAAGAAAAATCAACAACTTCACCCTGGAATACGTAGAGGAATATGTTTTCTTGGGACAGTTAGTTTCCTTTTCAGACAGAGTTACAAAAGAAGTCCAGAGAAGAATAGCATTTGGTTGGGAAAAGTTCTGGTCTCTGAAGTATATAACCAAAGGAAACATAAGTATCGATCTAAAAAGGCTAGTTTTCGATAGATGTATTATGCCAGTGGTGACCTATGGCTCCCAAACATGGTCATCGACAAAAGCCCAAGAGAGGAAGATCAAGGTGTGGCAAAATAGCATCGAGAGAAGCATTATGAAAGTAAAGAAGATAGATAAAATCAGATGCAAGAAGATAAAAGAAGAAACAGGGCTCGAAGATACTCTCTCGCAAATAAGGACAGGCAAATTGAAATGGGTTGGACATCTCCTGCGATAAAATGACAATAGATGGTCAAAAATAGTCACCGAATAGACTCCATATGACCGGAAAAGTATGAAAGGCCGACAAATGAAGAAACGGAGAGATCCATTTAGGCTTTTGGGAGGACCTCTCTGGTGGAGAGCAGCTAGGGACAGAGATGTGTGGAAAGAAAAATGGTTAAATGTCAGAAATCCCGCTTCCCAGTAGGCCTAGTCACCCAGGGAAGTGTTAAAGACTATTACTCCTAAGGGAAGGCCATTGCAAGAATAGTAAAAAGTTTTGTATAAATTATAATAATGTAAAAAAATTGTTTTGTTTTGTTTTGTAATTGTTTGTTTTCATAGAAATTGTAATATTTATGCATAAATAAAAGCTATTTTCATTCATTTCATTTCATTTCAAAGGAATTTTATTCCTCTTATTCTACCATCTATATTCTTGTCCCTCATCCTTTCCTCTTTATTCCTGTTCCTCCATCCACCCTCTCTACAGTTGCGCACTCCTTTCCTATCTATTTCTGTTCTTTCTCCCTTCCTCTCTATGCCTGTCCCTCCTTCCTTCCTCCCTATTTCTGTGTCCCCACACTTCTCAATTCCAGTTTTTCCACTCTTCCTCAGCGTCAGTTATAATCAGATTTATAAAAACAATACATTGTAATTTAAACAATAAATTAAACTACATCTAATTGATTATTTTAACACTAATAATAATCCGTCGCAAGGAACTTCTTAGAATACAATAATAACCTACAAAAGAACGATCCCGTATTCTAATTATATATAATTACATTTTTTGGCTTTCTTAATGTTACAGTCCGCCCACTGAACAAAACTTCAACAACCCTCCTATAATATCGGTCCCATGGCAACTCTTAATTTTCTGTTTTGAAATCTATAGATTAGATTTTATTTACTATTGTTTAATGTTTATAATTTAGGTGAATACAATAAACAATAAATTTAAAAACTGTACTTAACTACGCTGTTAGGGGGAAGGAAGTTTATGTTCATAGATTAACTTGAAGATAGAGACCAGGGCTGCATATAAAGTGTTATATATATATATATATATATATATATATATATATATATATATATATATATATATATATATATATATATATATATATATATATGGAAATAAAAATGTTAATTGTATATGAATAAATTGATATGAAGTGTTAACTAGCTAGCTGGCTTTTTGTGATACTGCTATACCTATACTACTGCCTCCCTATATTCCAGGTGTACCTGGGAAACGAAACGAAATCTACTACAATTGCTGCCCAGAGCCTTACATAGATATCACTTTTGTTATAATAATACGAAGAAGGACTCTCTACTACTTTTTTAATCTGATTGTACCGTGCGTTCTGATCGCTTCAATGGCTGTACTAGGTTTTACTCTACCACCGGACTCAGGCGAAAAACTTTCTCTAGGTAAATTGCTATTATCTACTAAAAATAAAGAAAAAAAAAACTGTCCGTTATCCCTTTGATAATATTATCTATGAACCTGCCCATCAATTACTAAAACTGTATATGTATGCGTATGTATACATTATACATATGTATGCATGATTAATTTATATTCAAAACCATGTTTGATATTTATAATTTCAAGTTGTGGGGAAATGTTATGTTTAAGAACTGCTCAGAACTCTGAATGCTATATTATTACATTTTCATCTGTTCACTATTTTATTTAAACAGTTAGCTTTAAATAAAATGTAATACATTACAAATTTTAACTAGATTGATATACATATAGTAAAAATAAGAGGACTGAAGTTAACTGTTTTAAATTTTTCAAACAAAACTATATTTCGTCGTCTCAAGAAATATAAGTTGTCCATAAGCAGCATGAATTGGGCAATAAATGATTTTAGATGTTCACTTTAATCAATATTTGTAAAATTGATTTGTCAGTTAGAATTTACTTATTTTTTTTTTCTGTTTCATTTTAAAAACTTTGGGAAATTATCTTGGATATTACAGATGTTAAAAGTAAAAAAAAAATTAAATGAAATTGATTCTCGTTTTGTAAAAATATATAAGTTAAAGATAGTGAGTATTAATACATAGTACAATATTAATAATTTAATTTTCAGTTCCTATGATTGATGTAGGAGGGTGTCGTAAAGAAGGTGCCTGAGCTAGGATAGATTAATCCAGACTCAATCCTACCGCACAGGAATGTGAAATGAAAATAAAATTATGTAGAGATATTTTGGCACATATTTTCCTTCAATTCTAATATTTCATTATTTATTCTAATAAAGAGATACAATTCGAACGTCTACTAATCTTTTGACAGCTAATATGATAACGTATGACCGACTATGTTTTTATTTCCATATAAAGATGATACGATAAATCACAATATACTCAATAATAAATATAAATTTCTGCATTGTATAATTGATATCTCCACAAAAGCCTCCAACCATTGATTGCCCAAAAGTAGAACCGATTAAATTATTTGATGTTAAAAGTTCTCATTGTTTAAAAAATTCATAAAAGTATACATTCGAAAAATTCACATGATAATATTATGTAAACAATCATAATTTTTTTCTCTAATTCCGCAAGCAAGTTACAAGAAATATTTTAACATGTAATTGTTTGTCGTATTTTACCTATAAGTATGTATTTTGTTTTTTAGCCTTTGTGAATGGCAAACGGACTTGATCTGAATATATTTTCCATTACCACATAATTAATGTTTGAATAATTTTAAAACTTATATATAAAATGGCTATACCCTAAAATTGGGTGGTATAAATGTCCTTTATGAAGCTTATTTGTAAAAAAAAATATTAAAAGTTGTGAATGAATGAGGCTAATGAGATGGCTGCTGGGCAAAGAGACGACCAATGAGTTCTGGGCAGTTGGGTGGCTAAAGATGTTAACAGGTGTCCGAGGAGAGAGGAGAGTGAACAACTACCAGTGCTGCCCCGCGCCTTGTATAGACATCACCTATACCATTCTTCTTTCGAGGAGGACGATCTTCTATACGGCGAACCTTATGGTGCCCTGCATTTTGATATTCTCAATGACTCTTCTAGGATTTACGCTACCTCATGAATGTGGAGAGAAACTAACCCTAGGTACCTATAAAGGTTAACACTCTAAGAAAGAGTCACTATATTTCACCTTGTGGTAGGCTTGTTAGGTGTTGGGGGGGGGGGAGGGAGGGGGAATAGGCCCGGAGCCGGATAGCCAGCTCATTACCGGATATTGACATTGTTCTATGTTTAGGGGTCACTATTCTCTTGTCGCTGACTGTGTTTCTAAACATGGTAGCTGAGACGATGCCGGCTACGTCCGACGCAGTACCCCTATTAGGTAACTTGCCAACAGCTCTTCACTTGGAGGCAGAGCGGAGAGGCAAATTATGTTCAATTTCACCACCTAAGCCTCCACAACTCCCATCTATCCAACCATTAATATCTTTCCAAACCGGGAGCCTTTCAATTGAAGGCAGCTTGCCAATCTAATGAGTATAAAAAATATTACACACTATTATTTAAATATTATAATTCTTAGCAAAATAATACTATTCCAAACTAATTATTTCCTCTAAAAAACATGTTTATAGAACTTATTGACGGTATACAGTAATTACCCCTATCAATAATTTAGAAAAAAAATATGTTAATATAATAATAATAATAGTGATAATTATATTTTTTTTAAAAACCTCATTTTGTTGCAACCCTTTATCGAATGTCTGTCCGCTCTTGTATTTATTTTGCTGATCACTGCTGTGCTAAGCAATAAGTTATATCCTGCTTGTTACATATTATTTGCTGCAAAATCAAACGACATCTCCCCCATCCCTCCAAAAAAGTATTGACTGGAACTTAAATTATTATCACAATAAAAAAAAATACCTTCATGAAATAACTATTGTATCAAGTAGACGAAGTTTGGTAAAAATACCCAAAATCCAGGTTATGGTGTTTTAGCCGACTTGATCACTACAACAAAAGAATATATATATATATTTTTTCAGTTCAAAAATAAAGATTGACCGTATAAAAAAAAAAATTAAAATTATTACTAAGAATGTTGTGCGAGTACTTGTGCTGATTTTTCTTTTTCTTTTTTAATTTTGTTCGTAGATGTGACAGTTCTTCTGTCGCTAACATTTTTCCTTAACATGGTGGCTGAGACTATGCCTCCAACCTCGGAAAGACCTCTGATAGGTAAACACATTGTAAGTCATTGTAAGTATGGAGGCAGAGCGGTAGGTCCACCTTCGGCAAAACCTGCACTTCTTTCTTTTCCATTAACTTTACTCAAAGGCAGGTCAAAGTTGTCATCAATAAATTTCCAGTCATCTTTCAATAGTTTTTCTCTGTAAAATCATATTCCTTTTTCGATTAGTAACTTGCCTACCAAGTTATTAATTTTTCATTCTAATTTCAGTTGAACTAAGACATAAAAATAAAAAAATAATAAAAATAATGTAAAGAAAAACTATAACCAACCCATCCAACTATACTTTGCTTTATCTTCCATTTTTGTAACATTTTTTCCATTGCAGAGGAAAAACGTTTTGCCATTCGGCTTTCAATTGCATTTAATTCGAGTGATGCTTCTAATCAACCTATCTATTAATTTTTTCTGTACATTCAAGGCTCTCCCTGCTTGTTGAGATTAATATATTCATCTCTCTCTTTCTCTCTCTCTCTCTCTCTCTCTCTCTATATATATATATATATATATATATATATATATATATATATATATATATAGAGAGAGAGAGAGAGAGAGAGAGAGAGAGAGAGAGATAGAGCGATGTACTCATAATTTTCAATTAATTAAAAGCTATATAGCTTCTGTTATTTTATTTTTCCCTGCTATTTCACAGTAAACATTTTACATGATCATATCTATAATTATTTGTCAAAGTGACTCTTTTCTTTACGTTCTTCCCCTGCATATGAGCCCAGTACAAAACCCATTTTGCCTATGAGCCATCTAATATATCTCCCAACCCTCTTCCACAAGTAGTTGTTTGGCTACAGACATACTTGACATGGACAGTTAGTACACTTCCTCTAGTTTGCACATGTCCCTTCAATAACCTTTGTCTGCATGTTTTGAAAGCTTACATAAGCATATTTTTATATATTGTCATGTTATTAGTTTGTCATTCTTGTTACATAATCTGAAAAGGGCTGAGCTTAGGATATGTTCTAGGGGTGACTGTTCTACTGTCGCTGACTGTCTTTCATAATCTCGTGGCGGAGACATTGCCACAAGTGTCGGACGCTATGCCAGTCTTAGGTTACACATTCAACATTTTTATAATTTGTTTATATAGTGCACAGCAATTATTCTTGATATTATGTTGACATGAAACATATAGTAACACCTATTTCAGAAGAGCACTTATATATAAAATCTCACTTATTCATGGAAAGTTTTCATAACAGAACTTTTCAATCCGACACGTATCCTTCTTTGTCTCTAATAGGCTGAAAATGTTTGGGATAATTTCTAATGTTTGCACTATAATGCACAATCACATTTCTTTAAGATAAATAGCAATTCGCGAGATAATTAGAATTTTGCCTAATGTATTTGCCTTTGTTTCTCTTACTTTTCTTTTTTTGATTACTTTTGATTAATGAGCACACATTTCTGCAGTGATGAATATTATAGAGGTGAGTAAGATTGCAAAAGATAGTTGCTTTGATGGCGGCGGGGAAGGGATGCGGCAGGGAGCAAGCCGCCCCCCGCCCACCTATCAACTAATCTATTCCACCCCTAGCTGGCTAATATATAAATATCTCTATCAGAAAAAACAATACAGCTACTCCATTTAAATAAAAGTAAGTGCCCAAGCAACGGAATGTATTTTTGTTTTTTTCTTCATCTTTTACTCTTCCTTTAATTCTGGTTTAAAACGCTTTAAAATGGTTTTATTGAGTATGAAAAAATATATTTATATATATTTTCACAGAAGTGCTTCCACCATTACAGGGAATCTTGTTTGACATATTTCTTTCAAAATAAAGAGGTATTGACTGAATAAAACTTTTCTATATTTTATCTGAAATTCGTAAATGTCATATTTATTATAGATTAGTTGTAATAGATTTAACCCCCATTGATCAACTTGCTGTCAATGAATTATATCAATGTTTCACTTCCATCATCATATCTAGAAACATGGATTATGGGTTCGGTTATAGTCGATAATAGAATGTCCAGCAAATTGATAATGGCTTTCATGAAACCTCATTGTCTAATTTATTTATTTCATTTCTCATTGATTTATCCAGTCGGCTCCAACTAATAGTAAGTAAAATACATAATTTTGAATTACTGACGTTTATAACTTGTTTTAATATTCATCAAGTTTCCTTTAAGAAAGAATGGTAAATAAAGTGTCTGTTTCAGCAAAAATCTAAGTATTACATGAACCGAGATAATTTATGCAGTAAAATCAGTTTTTTTTTAAATATTTATTTAGAAAATAAATCATGGCTCGGAAATTGTATCTGTTTATGAAGGCTTTCACCGTTTGAGAATATAAAATAAAGGTGGGATATATATATATATATATATATATATATATATATTTTTTTTTTTTGTGATATAAACCTCTATGATCGGTTATATGTTGCTGTTGTTATAAACTATAGCACAATCCATAATCGATGTTGATCAATACCAGCCCAGTTCATTCCATATTTATTGATAGATTATTGAAAAAAAAAAAGAAGTAAAGCTTAGTGAATAAGTTTAAATCAATTATATAATAGAACAACTATTTATTTATTTCTTATTTATAACTTATATCGGCTTTTAATGAAAGAATATTGAAAAATACTCGTGGATGAAGAATAGAAGAAGGTGGCTTAGTGGCTCTTGCTGCAGTGTGTAATGCCGGTAATTGGTCGGAGGAAGGCACTAGTCAAGTTTGCTCTCGTGTTTCAGGTGTTACAATACTTCTCTCTCTCTCTGTATTTTCACTCATGATAGCCGATGCGTTACCTCAGACTTCGGAAGCTATACCCTTACTAGGTCAGCACACATTGCACATAACCTAATTTCCAACATAGAAATCTTTTTTTCATCAAAGTCCATCTACATGATTATTTCATTCAGACCCTTATTCCCTAAGGGAAATATTATTTTTTTCATTTAATATCCTCCCTATTAAAATAAATTATTCAACATTTCTAATTAAATAATCTTATATCCTTTTTTTTTTCATTTTAAAACTCGAGATTTTTTTTTATTGTTGCTTCTTTTCATTCCTGCCTATAAATTGACATTGATATTTCTATTAGTTTAGATAACCCATTTAATATAATATCTAATTAAACGAAAATGTGTGAAATAATCATGTCTTGTAGTAGAATGCTTAGCGGACTCACTCTGTCCTTTGCGTGTGTGTCCTCTTCTCTTCTTTATTGAATATTTTATAATTAATGAAAACGTAAACAATACAACCTGCGTAAACTACTACATGCTAAAAACAACAACTAAAAAAAAGTTTAAACAATTAAAAGGTTGTGTATACTAATTTCACACTTTTTATACAATAAACGGCCAATGATATTAAATAATCTTGTAAATACTGATTTAAAATTTTTCTCTAGTGTACATATATTGTGTGAATGCATGATGGTACTTATGTAGTAGGCTTGACATGGGGAAAAGATATTTCTCTAACTAACACTGTGACTAATTCTTACAGATGTAAGGAGTGGAAAAACGAGCGGAAAATGTGTAAATGTAGCCTGGCTCACTGTAACCAGCTTTACCAGCCTCGGTTACAGTTTGCCCAGGAGCTAACTAAAACCTACCCCACCCACAAGATAAATTATATAATTTTAATCCAGCGCTAACCTCTCTGCCTCCACGTAACTCGACAACTGTTTAAATAAAATGCATTTAAAACTAAAGCATGTTATAACAAATATAAATTTATAACTCTTGTTATAATACTCTAAATATTAAAAGGGTATCACTATTAAATTTGTTTTCTAAATGTGCTAAATTTAGTTTGAATGCAATTTTGTATTGTAAAAACTTTTATAAATGAATATATTTTAATACAATATATAAAGTAATATTTATTGATAATAGTAAGAAATATCATGAAAACGAAAAATACATTTAAATCAACTCATTACAGTGTTAAATATAATAGGGATGAGGGATATCTTAGTTTTTTTGGTTCATCTTTATCCTCTTTTAAATAATAATTAAATAATATGATGTACCTTTATAAACATGACTCTTAAAAACGAATTTGAGGATTTAGACAAATCTTTGAAATTTTGAAATATAGTAGTGCTTTTTTATAACAAAATACTGTTGCTGTCTTATAACTGTATAACATTCTCTGGTTAGAGGATTTGTTAATTTGCCTAGAAAAAACAAAAAAAAAAAAAAAAAAAAAAAAGGAGGTGCTAAAGTGGAAAAAAGTTTTGTTTGGATAAGCAACATAGTTTACTGAGAGTAACATCAACTGATTTAGAAATGTTTATAGAGGTAACTCTGTTTTAGTGAGTTATAGAATTTTCTTATTCAAGTGCTAATTTTCTTTTGCATGAATAAAGAAGCACAACATTCACAATAGTTTTTTTTCCTACTCAATTAAATTTTAAAAGGCTTAATAACATTCAATAAAAATATAATCGAAAAACTTTTAAGCCTGCAACCAACGTTCAACAAAGAAACACCCAACAATCTACAATACATTAAAACTACAAATTGAATAGTTGATTTATTTTTCAATTATGTTATATTTTTTGATGTCCTGTTTGTTTATTTTTCCACAGATATCACCCATCCCAAACATCGCTTATACTTTTTGTCAGAATTTACACTTATTATGTAAATACAAAATTGTATTCACAAATTTACGTACTTCATTCATTGCATGTCTTCTTTAGTAGTGTAATATGCTAATGTAATGTAATTTTTTAATGCTACCCTTTCTTTTTTTCGTAATGCATCCAGCATGTATTTAAATGTTATCGTATTTAATAAAGATATGATTTAATGTTATTATTGCATTATTGCATTGTAATTCACTTATTTTTATATGCTTTATAGCTTGAACAGTTAGATTATTTTACCTGGAAATAATGTATCCAAGTTATGTCCAATAATGTACTGGTGAAGTTATGTCATCAGAAAAAAATGCAACCAAAAGATGCTTTCCTAAAAATTTGCACCAATCATTATCGTAAAATTTATTATTGAATGCATAAATTAGTCTCTTAAATTGTTTAGTATTGTATTTAAAAATATTCATTAAGTAATTAGAACTTGTTTATTATTTGTACTTGCCCTAAATAATCGCTTCACTTTATAGATTCATATCAAATGAGGCGAAATCGCTGATGACATTTAACTGTTATTTATTTATTTTTTTTGTAGGTTTATTTGGTAAGTTATTATATATTTTAGATAAACATATTTATGAATGACTATATGTAAAATTGGTAAGTGTATCCATCTCTCTCTAAATAATGAATCAGTTATCGTATCTAGCCATTTTTTAAATAAATGGCACAGTTATATCAATCGTTTTCTTTTCTAAAAAGCACACTAAACTGTTTTCTCGATTGAAAATTTACAGATTATCTCAGATTAATTCGCACTTGCTTTAAAATATCTCTTTATTATAACTATTCTTTAATTGAGGAACAATTTAATATTTTTCTACAATCGTGAAAGAAAAGTTTAATTAATTTTAACTAACCTTCAACTCTTTTAATATAAAAGAAAAAGTAGGATAATTATGGGTCACATTTACCTAACGTTTGCTTATTATTATTATTATTAAGTAAGTATGATAAAAACTGATCTGTGGTTATTTTTCTGTCAGTTATTTTTTTTTTTATAAATAAACATGGAAAAGAAAGTTTTCCATGATAGGATAGCTGGCTGGTTATATTTTTAAGCTGGAAAAGTAGCCCAACTAAAAGGGTAGAGAAATACTCCACCACTGGGTCAGGTGGCCTTTCCTCCCTCGCGCTTTTAGGCCAAGGGTCTTCCGCATTCTAATATTAGCAGCTAGCAGATCTCTCCCCATCCTTCAAATATTTCAACAACTGAAATTGAAACTATCCGCAATCCTATCTTCATTTAATTAATTACTTTTTTAGAGTTTCTGTCTTTCTTACTTGGTTGTTAATATTATCAAGATATAGAAACGGCTAAACAATGGAACTTTATCAAATAAACGCAATTCATTCTATCTTTTTTTTTAATCGTAATAATAGATGATAAATCGAACAGGAGGATGATCACTAGTGTTGTCTAAAATTGGTGTTCGTCTTGCTTTTTTGAATGACCGAGATCAAGACTGGACTCGTGCAAGATTTGAGCACAAGAGAACAAGATTGACCTGCAAGATTCTTGCCTCGTCCAGTTAAATCAATCTGAGGCTATTTAGAGATATCCTACGGTTAACATTTTAACCTAGACTTAAATCTAAGCAGAGAAAAATAGTTACTAATACTAGAGAAATTTAGTTCTATATATAAAGAATTGGTAGAACTAATATATTTTTACATTCAAATCTCCCGATTTTTCATTTCGAGTTTAGTTAGGTTTTCCATTCTGCAAATGACAATAATATCTCTATATTTTGTACTGGCAATATACCTACCAAGTAAATACTTTTCAGATGATGGCGACAAAGTCTGACCAACGCGATTACTGTGTTGATTCGGATCAAGGAAAAGTGTAAATACACTTTTAATGAAAAAAAAAATGTTGGTTTTAATTAATGCAAGTTTGTTCTGATTTTTGGTGTAATTTTCTCGTATTAGTAAGTTTATGTTTTATAAAATATGTATACACGTGCTAAAAATATAGCACAAAATAAAATTTGTTCCTAGCAAACTTGGTGGAATAATCAATAAAATGATTGAAAATGGAAAAAATATTAAGGCAAGGACCTCTAAGTACCTAAAATAATTTATAAGGCTAAATAAGTTTATATCAATAAAATTATTATCAACCAATAAAATTATATCAACTTATGTTTCGAGGAATTTAGTCTATTTAAGCAAGATTAACTGTAGAATAATTGGTAAATAGTGAATACTCTTATATTGAATGGAAAACATGTTGAACCTAAGATATTGGAACATGAATGATTTATTCAGAAAGCTCCGAAGGTTGCCCAAATTATGAGGCCAATACATGGACTAAATAAATGAAAAAACAAAAGTTTGCACAATGAAGCAGCATTACTGGTAAATGCCTTTTCTTCTTGACCACATCTATAGCATTTTTCACAGCTAGAGTTAGTTTACCCATTTTTTTTTTATTAATTGTTACGACATGTATTATTCTTGTCCCTTCCCCGTTTTTCTTTCAGTATTTTAAAATTCAATCTTAACGTGTTTAAAACATATTAGAAAGTTGATTGTAAATTGATTGAGAAATGAGTATGATTCGTTGCAATAAATGAGTTAATGCAATTATTTAAGAGCCATTTCGATTCCGTAAGGGTATTGACTGGAGATTTTAAAGCTGGAAATGAAATAAACCAGTAATTTTCAATGGCAAAGTATTTCGTCGCTTTTAATTCTTATTAATGTATGTGAAATGATTATTAAACCATTTTAATTGCTTCCATGGCTATATAATAATTTTTGATAAACCTACCAAATTTAACTTTGGTTCAAATTCATAATTCTGACTAGAAGAAATATAACCGTGTCACTGGGATAGGAATATGATGGTATCAGCTGAATAGCTCATTAGAAGGGCAAAGTTCATGTTGAATTATCTTTCCATAAACATTTCTTATAAGGCTGCTGGAATCCCGTAAGAGTGAATTCTTCAATTATTCCAGAGGGTAGGGTCATCAGTTATTAGTATATACTAAATTTTTAATGGCTATTTCTTTTTCTATTTGTAAGTATTCATATTATTTTTATTTATGACACAACATGATATATTCTATTTATTGACTCTTGAAAGCACGTGCAAGTATACTTAAAATGGGAAGACCCTGAGATAATCTGTATTTTATTATGAATGCTTCTCAACTTTCAAAAACTTATAGTTGCATGTGAAATTAAATCTATAACTTGGTCATAAAAGAAATGTTGGATCTCTTCTATCTAACTTAAATCAGTTCCTCATCATACCCAAGCCAAATTAAGGAATTAAATCAAAACTTTCTCTATAATGATGCCTGACCAGATATATACTAATTAAGAATAATTATAGCATGGCATGATTACTACTACTCCACTAAGGCCAGAATTAATGTATTAAACAATGGTGAAACAAATTACAGGTACATACTTCAACTGTATTATGTTTATGGTAGCGTCTTCGGTGGTGTCAACTATTCTCATTCTCAATTACCACCATCGAAATGCGGATACACATGAAATGTCCCCTTGGGTAAGTTTTACTTATTTATTAGGCTAACTAATATAATCTTTTTCTATATCCTAACATATGAGGGGTATATATAATTACATATACGTTAACTCACAATTACTTTCAGCTCATTATGATGAATTTCTTCATTATTTTATTTACACAGATAGAAAAATAACTATAATAATCTGGGACCAAGTTTCTTAAGAATAACGAAGTGTTACAGAATAAACGGAATAACATTTTTAGTTAAAATTTCTACCATATTATTTCCATTTCTGAAATCTGGCTCAACCTAGACCTGGGCAGAATTTATTTGAAAAATATTCCCGGAATAAATCCCTAAATAAACCTCGATAGTTATTTCCGAAATAATTTATTTCATGAAATAACCTGACCATTATTTCCGAAATGATTATTTCGGGAATAAATTATTTCAGGAATAACGATATCTGAAATGATTATTTCAGGAATAATGTGAAATCTGAAATAATCATTCCGATCGACTTTTAGATATAATCAATATCCGGGTCGACTGTTATGTGTTCGGGGGCACTTATTATAAAAGTAATGTCAAATTTGAGATTACGCCGCCCCCCTACACACTCCAGCATCGGCTTTTTGTAACTTTTCGGATTTAATCCATATCAGGGTCGACTATTATGTTTTTGGAGGCGCTTTTTATGAAAATACTGTCAAATTTGATATTGAGCCATCCCCCTCCCCACCCCGCATCTCATTTTGTAACTTTTCAGATATAATCGATATCAGGGTCGGCTGTTGTGTTTTCAGGGCCGCTAATTATAAAAATAATGTCAGCTATTTGTAACTTTTCAGATTTAATCGATACCAGGATCGACTAATATGTTTTCGGGGTAGCTAATTAAGAAAATACGGTCGAATTTGAAAAAGATATCCCAAAAACATAAAAGACCACCCTGATATCGATTAAATCGGAAAAGTCACTAAAAGTCGATTGGGGGTTCGGAGGGAGAGGCACAATCTCAAATTCGACCATATTTTCATGATAAGCTACCACGAAAACATAACAGTCGACCCTGATATCGATTAAATCCGATAGGTTGCTAAAAATCGATTAGTGGGCGGAGGGGCGCAATCTCAAATTAGACCATATTTTCATAATAAGCTACCCCGAAAACATAATAGTCGACCCTGATATCGATTAAATCCGAAAGGTTACTAAAAGTCAATTAGGGGGGGGGGGATGGTGGGGCGAAATCTCAAACTCGACCAAATTTTCATAATAAGCTACCCCGAAAACATATTAGGCGATCTTGATGTCGATTAAATCCGAAAAATGACTAAAAGTCGATTGGGGGGGGGCGGAGTGGGCGCAATCTCAAATTCGATCAAATTTTCATAATAAGCTACCCCGAAAACATAATAGGTGACCTTGATGTCAATTAAATCCGAAAAGTTACTAAAAGTTGATGGGGGGAGCAGGAGGGGGCGCAATCTCAAATTCGACCGTATTTTCATAATAAGCTACCCCGAAAACATAATAGTCGACCCTGATATCAATTATTTCAGAAAAGTTACAATAAGTTGATGTGAGAAGGTGGGGGGGGCGTAATCTCAAATTTGACATTATTTTTATAATTAGCGTCCCCGAAAACATAATGGTCGACCCTAAGATCGATTATATCTGAAAAGTTACAAAAAGTCGATGCGGGGTGGGGAGGGGAGGGCGCAATAACAAATTCGACCGTATTTTCATAAAAAGCGCCCCTGGTAACATAATAGTCGACCCTGATATGGATTAAATCCGAAAAGTTACAAAAAGTCGATGCTGGAGGGTGGGGGGGGCGCAATCTCAAATTCGACATTGTTTTCATAAAAAGATACCCCGAAAACATGGTGCGTATTAGTAATTTTTTTATGTTATTTCAGAACAATGTTATTTCTGAAATATTTATTTCTTGATTTTATGCAATAATTTATTTATGAAATAAATTATTCTGAAATAATAGTTATGAAATAATTTATTTCAGAAATAATTCATTTCGAAATTATTTACATTATTCCAAAGAATGTTAAAGTAGTGAAATAATTATTTCAGAAATAAATTCAGAGTTATTCCATCGAGATTATGGAATATTATGGAATATGGCTGTTTGAAATATTATTTGAGAAATAACTGTTATTCCCGAAATAATTCATTCGTGGAATAACCATGTGAATTATTTCAGGAATAAATTATTTCAAGAGTGCCCAGGTCTAGCTCAAACCTTCTATTCCCCTTCCTCCCCCTATTTCCCTCTCTAACTACATCCTCATCCGCCATGACCAGGAAGACAAAATCTTACCAGATCTCGAAACCATAGATTAGAATGGGATCTTTATTATTCCTGTGCTAATATTGACACCATGGTTGACATTCTCACTTCCAATCTCTTTAGCACTCTTCCTACTTATGCCCCCTCTTAAAACCACTACCCTCCGTCGCCAACCAGCACCTTGCATGTTTCAGAAAATTAAGGAGTTGCAATTGATGCACGATGCTGCCCATAGACGCTTTAGACGTAATTGGATGACTACCAAGTGCTTAGGATGCTACGCAACTTGAAACAGACAAGGATCCGGCGGGCGAAATCTACCTAATTCCACCAAGCCCTTTCCTCTGCTCTTGATAACAAATCAAAATGGCTACTGCTTCGTAAACTCTCACTGTGTTAACCTTTCAGATTAACCAGTGGCTCAGCTTTTCCAGTATCACCTGATAATCTTAATTTGCATTTTATATCTGTTCCTACTACTGCTGTTCTGCCCTCCTCTTCTTGCTTTTCTCCAGAGATTAAACTTATCCGTAATACCATGATTGCAATACATGTTAAAAACTAACTGTTCTTTTAAGCCCTTCGATACCATTGACCATTCCATTCTTTTCAACACACTAAAATCATAATCCTTCTCCAATTTTTCCATTTCTTGGTTCCTATCTTTCCTCTCTCATTGTACCATAGCAGTTTCCAACCCTTATCAACCGCTTTCCAAACTTCCTTTGTCTTCACCTTCTGTATTAACGAAGTTCGTGAATCAATCTCAAACATACTCGCGACTCTCAAATATACTTTTTCTTAATCATTCTGAGTTAGTGGCGTTTGCAATAATTCAAGAACTAGATAGTATCAATGTCTGGGTTAATTCAAACTGATTAAGACTAAATGCTGCTGGGCTCTTTCATTGATCAAACTCTATCATGGAGTCACTATATTTCCCACATCTTCCGTAACCCTAAACCTTTTTCCCCTAAAACCTTTCCATCATCCTACCCTAAAACTTTTCCATCACTTCCACCAGCTCCTACCCCAACATACGCGCAGACTCCTGGTTTCCTTCCTCATCTTCCACCACTTGTGTAGTAAAAGTTTTTGTTGAAGAAGTACCGGGTTGAGGGTCATTCATGTTATCATTTGGGTTATCAGATGTTGAGGGTGGCGTTTTTCTATTAGAACGTCTAGGCTTCTGTTTTATCGGTGAACCTCGAGAGCTGTTATTACCTAAACTCCTTTATTTTTTTTAATAATCTATTTATTGAATAAAATACAATCAGCCACTGCTGGGGGGCTATAAGCATTAGGGCTAAGAGTTCCCATTCATACAATATATAAAAATAACAGATAAATAAATATAAATATAAAAAGTAAACAAATAATACTGATGAAGAAATTAAATAAAAGAAAAAAAGTAAACAAATAACATAAAATAGAAACTTGCATAAAATAGAGGATGCAGTCCAAGCTGCTTGCTGGACCAGGGTAGTGAAGGAATGCACAGCATCGTCGAGGTCTTCAGGTGTTTTTAAGGAAACTCTGAGGTCTATATTATCTTCCAGTATTTGACGGAAAAGGTTCCAGTTAACTGGCCCCCTGATAAAAGAAGGTGGGGATGATTTGGGAATGGGAGATGTGGAAACGGTTAGGACTAGAGGACTATGGTCTGAGGAAAGATCATCAAACCTTGAAATGGAACAGTGTAGTGATCCTAGACCTTTGTGTAGGAAAAAGTCTAGAAGGTCGGGATTGCGGTTGGGATCTGTTGTCCAGTATGTGGGAGTATTAGGTGAAAGGATGTTGTTGCGATGGGAATTAAGTGCAGATAGCAATGTTCGCCCTCAGGAATTTGTGGATCTGGCTCCCCATTGCTGGTGTTTTGCATTTAGATCTGCACCTAGGAGGAAGTGGTGTCCTAAGGAATTCAGGAAGGAAATTATTTGGGATTCGGAAATGGGTGTTTTAGGCGGGAAATATGCCGCAACTAGTGTTATTGGGTAAAGGGGTGTTTGGATTATTACGGCTGTGGATTGTAGGAAATTGTGGCTTGGTAAGGGAAACAAATGATGGGAAACGGATCGATGGATAATTATGGCAGTGCCACCATGTGCTATTCCATCAGGATGGTCGGTTCGATAAATATTGTAGCCGGGAACGTTGGTTTGTCGTTTGTGGGTTAGTCGAGTTTCAGTTATTAGTGCTATGTCGATGTTTTTATCATGTAATAAGATTGTCAGTTCGTTGATGTGGTTCCGAATACCATTCGCATTCCATAAGAGAATGGAGAGGAATTTGGTTGAGGACATTTATGGATTTCTTGGCAGTGGAATAATGTTGGATATAACATTGGTAAGTAGCGAAATAAGAGGGGTAATGAGAGATCTAAATTCGGAAAGGAAAGATGTCAGTAGGCTTGTGAGGTCAGTGGAATTGGAAGGAGGAGGAATGAATGTATGGGTTTTTAACCTACGTTCAGGGATGGAGGGATATGGGTCTTGAGGTTGATGTGTGAATTCTTGAGGTTTAGGTTCTTGTAGCAGAGCCTGAGATTGAGTGTTGTCTCCTTTGAACATCTAAGCATAAGACACTCTTCCGTTCACTGTTCTAGAGGGTTGTCTTGGTGGCCTGGATGTCCCTTCTTCTCTAGGCGTTGCGTAGATTCGTGTTTTTAAATCTTTGTATGTTTGACAACCCTTGTAGTTGGCTGGGTGTCCTTGGTGGAATAAA